GTTTTTGCTTTGAAGATTTGCTAGAACGGAATATATTGTTGATGAATATGTGAGCTCTAGGATATCTCTTTTTAAATTCCGAGAAATAAATAAAAAAAATTTAAAAAATACTGAAATATTTTAAAAAAGATAAAAATATTAAGGGTGGTACATTTGCATGTTTTATAATTTAAAGCATACTTTCTAGCTCTTATATAAATAATTTAGAATCTCATTAAGTTTTTCCGCTTTTTTCTTAAACTGCACCCTTTTTTTATTATTTAAAGACATTGGAAGACCTTTAATTAGGCCAAGTTTTGAATTGCAATTGCAATTTTCCAAGAACACAAACAAATTTATTTGCCTGATATTGCGAAATATATACCCTCTTTTAGTCCCTCTCTATATAGATTTATAAATTACCTACATATGTATTTAAACCGACACCTGCAATTCGTCACTTTTGGATTGTGTGATTATTACTCACTTTTTTTTTAGCTTATCAGCCTTTTGCTTTGCCTTACTTTTGTGTTAGTTAACGTATGGCGGAGTGGGAGGTGGGTGGTAAGAGAGGGGACTTTAAAAACCTCCTGCCCTTACCACAGTATTTCCCTCACTATTTTTCCCATTTTTTTTGTTTGCCTCTACAAACGAACAACAAGTGCCATTTAGTCTGTGACTGACACAAGTGACTAATGCTCCCCTTTTCTACTGAGGCCCCCATCAAATAGAACTCTGTTACAACGCCTCTGCCAACGTTGACGGCAATGCTAGCTTCGCTGACGTCAGCCGCGTAAGAAAAAAAGACGATACATGATGAAATTGCAAGGCTAACTGTAAAAATTAAAGCGGAAATAATTTTAAAAAAAATCTAAGAAAACGGTAAAATTAACCGAGATTTTATAGTTTATTTGTTAAATTTAAATTGATTATGTTAAACGATTTATATTAAATTAGACCAAAAGATAAACAATCTACGTTTAATCTTTTTTCGTACATACAAGTATCTCTTAACTAATTTAAGCTACATAAACGCTGAGTTCTAAAATAAAAAAAAGTTTAAAAATCAAAGAAATTAAACTAAGCATTAAACACACAAAAAACAAATGCGAACAAAGTATTTGTATATATTTGTTGGGTATTTATCTGGTTGACATACATTATTATCTACTTCCTGTATATATATAAATATATATGTATAAGATATATGACCAAAATCGAACAAAGACAAACATCGGAAGGTGTTCTCAAAAGGTGAAAAAGAGATAGCATTATAGACCTATGTTCGCCAAATTAAAAACGAATTAATTTTCGCAGCAACCAAATAACTTTTAATGTGGAAATAATTGTAATTGTTTGCCTGACAACAAAAAACACGAATTCGCTTTATTTGTTATCTTTTTTTTATACTTTTTGTATTTTATTTTTTACGTACTTTTATTATGTTTTTTTTATTTGGGTTGTCTCAAGGTTTTCTGTTTTTCAATTCGTTATATAATAATCCCAAGTGAACTTATTTTGTTTGTTAATTACATTATTGGGTATTAAATATTGTTAATTAATTGATACTTGTGTTGTAAGTACTTTTAATAAGGTAATTCATTTATTATACATTTTAATCAATATTTTTATGTTTATGCATTTTTAATAATATTTTTGAATGTGATTTTAAATACAGTTCTATTGGATATTTAAAGTTAAATATTTTCACTTTCACCGCCCACAAATCCCTATAATTAAGATATTTTTGTAAAATTATTTGTATGGTTTTGATTGTGCCGCATTTGTTGTGATGTTGTTGCTATTGCTATAAATTTTTGCTCATGCTTTTTTGTTGTTGTTGTTTTTTAATTGTTTTTACACATTTATTGGGGTTAAGGCCTTCTTGACTGGCCAGTACCTTTTGTTTTTATTTTTGTTATATTGTTGTTTTTATTTTTTTGTTGGTGCTTCTTGCATATTTATGAACTTTTTTTTTCTTATTTATTGTGTATTTTCGTTTCGTTTTTGCTTGTTTGGATTTTATTTTGAAAACGTGCAAAAAAAAAAAAATGAAATGAGTAAAAAACGATTTCTCTTTTTTGTGCTGATGGGGGCGTGAACATTGCCAAAAGTAAAAGCAAAAAATAAATAAAACAATCATTTTCAAAAACACATGAATTTTTGCGGACCATTTTGCATAAGCAACTAACCGTAAATAAATAAATTTTTTATGACTTCTGACAGTTAGTATAACACCCTCTTTTTTTACCATTCAAAGGAAATATTTGTTTTTTTTATATTATAGTTAATATACGTTTAAACCTACTTATTTATATTTAAAATGTTAACAATATGTATATTATAACAAAAACATTTAGATATTTGTCTTATTTCCAATCGGAAAAAATATACCATCAAATTTATATGTCTGTAAAATTATTCCTAAACAAATTACCAGGTCAGCATATTTAAGGATTAAACATTACATTAAAAAGCTATTGTTATTATTTAACGTTGTACCCATGCTCATATTTTCTGAAGCTTTTACTTATTGCACTTTTGTGTATATTTTTTTTTTTTTGGAATTTTTCTCATTAAAGAAGCAACATTTTCTGTCTTTATTTGTTTTTGTTCTTGAAGAAAAATTTGCTCTTATTCGTGATTTTTTTTTTTTTATTCTTTTGTATATTTTTTTCTTGCTCATTTCGCATTGCAGGCGTCGCAGTCTCGCTTTTCGCGTCTTCTAGAATTTTTCAAGGTCATCCGCGCATGCGAATTATTTATTTTGCACTCGGTTTTTGTTGTTCTTATTTTGTTTGTGAGAGTGTGCGATTTTTTTTCAGACAAAACACGAAAAAAGAATAAATAAATAAAAGCTGGGGGTTCCAATGGTACATGAAAGGGGGTAGGGGAGGAAGAGAATGGGCGATAAAGTTGAGCGACCCTCCTTAGCAACACGTGTGGTCTGCCGTCTCCCTCTAGTTATCTATTTGCCTCTCCCTCTATGTGTTTGCACTCGAATGCATTGAGTATTCAATTGGCATTTGCAATGAGCACACAAATTATATAATTCTAAGAGTATATTTAAACTTATCAAATTTGTATTATAATAGGAATAATGGTACATATATTCATATAAAGATATCCAATATGCACTGTAATTGCGAGGTTTTCTCCATTTTATCTTCCTCTTTTCGTTCATCATCCTCTTCTTTGTTTTGCACTTTGTTTTGCCAACGTGAGCCAAGTCGCGTTGACGAAAACAAAAAAAGAGAAAAAAAAAATAATAAGCGAAACACAAACACGCAAAAACAATTTTATTTATCATTTCAGTTTTTTGTTTTTGGTTTATTTTTATTAAGCAGGCAGGAGCCAATAAAGTGATTTGATAACTTGAAATAAAGAAAAACCAAACAAGAAAAACACCAAAAGATCCTTTTAGATGTTATGACAGTGACAGCTTTTAACCCCAAACATTTGAAACAATTATAGATCACATGATATAACACCCCTTACTATACATAAGCACACACATAAATGCATACAAATGTATTTACATATGTGCATCTATTATATTCACAAACAAATCAACAGTCATCACTTTGTAAAACGAACTTTACGAGTCTGTGGAAATAAAGCTATTATTTTTTACCAATTAAATAAATCAATCTAAGAACTTAACTTTTCTTTATTTCAAAACCTCTGTAAATAAATCTATTTCGACTGTAATTTCGAAAAAAAACCAAGTAATTCCATTTCGAAATTGATTTTTTCGTCTCTTTGTTTTGTTGAACTTTTGAAATTGACTCATAGAACTGCAGCCTTCTTCTTCCAGCTTTTGATTAGTATTAGTTCAAGCTTTTGAGGTGACCTTGAATAAGTTTACTAACTTTTTGCATTTTTTGGGCGTTTTTCATTGTTTGCTTTTTCTATGCGATTATTTGGCTCTATGAAAGTTTGTTGTTGCTTGTTTTTTTTTTTACCACTCCCTCTGGGCAACCTCTCCTCTCTTTCCATTTCTTTTGCACTGACGCAAATTAGAAAAGAGACAGCGCTATTGGTGCAGTGGAGCTTCAAGAATTCGAAATTTAGTTACTGACAAAATATTTGGTTTTTCATTTTTTAAAAATATGTTTAAAAATTAATTCTGAAGTTAATTTGTATCGCTTACAGTTTAGATTTTAAGTAAAATGTTGAATAATAGCTAATTAATATCTATATTAATTATAAGATACAAAATTATTTGTTTTTTCAAGATACTTTTACTTGACTATGTTGCGTGTACAATTTTTATATAATTTTTAAGACAGTTCGATTTATGGAGGCTTTACAGTACTTTTTGGTAAATTTCTAGGTTATGGTCAAGGCGAAATCTAAGCAAATTTGAAGGCTAAACACAAGCACGAAAAAATAAGAAGAGAAGAACGAAGAAGAGAAACGAAGAATTCTTCCGATAATTATTTTTTGTTTTCTATTTTGTTATTGTTTTTTTGCTCCCCTTTTTGAGCTTTTTTTGTTTTTCGTTTGTTTACGCCTCCGCAAAAAGGAGCAAAAGAAATTGGGCGATAGAAATTTCGCGGAGAGATAAAGGTGTGTTGAACTTTAGCAAAAGTACATTCAATAAATTATATTTATTTTGGTTTTTAGCTAGCTGCGAATTTGCTTTTGCTTTTCTTTTTTGTTGCATACGTGTGTGTGTTTGTCGTTTTATTATCTTTTTTATATTGTTTTTGCGACGCTTTCAAATCAAACAAAAGCACTCTTTCTCTCTTTTAAACTCTCTCAGAATTTTTGCACGTGTATGCAGCGGTTTTTCTGCTTCTTTTCAACACGTAAGCTTAAACAAAAGAGAGGTAAAATACAAAAATCACACAAGTGCGAGTGAGAGCGCCATAATTGGGGTTAAAAAATACAAAAAAAAAAAGAAAGAAACCGCGATTTAGTCACTGACGTCAACTAAAATAAAATACACAAATTTGCGTCTAGACAGAAAACTATTTATCTAAATAGTTAGCGACTATTTCCATATTGTTTCTTACCTTTGTGTACTTTTTAGTTTAAATTTCCTAATCGCTGATTTTAGTCGAATTTAACATTATTTTCCTGAGTAAGTGCACTTTTTTCTGTTTACCACGGGGTTACTTTGTATTTCTCCTCACTTTTTGCGCTTATTTTTGGTTTGATTATCGCACTTTTAAAAAAATAGTGAAAATAGTTGACAATTTGCGTGGTGATTTGTTGTTTTAATCTCTGTTTATTTGTTGTTGCTGTTTTCACAACCCGGTTTTTTTTGCAATTCGCATTGCATCGCACGCATTTGGTATTTAATCGGGTTGGTAATTAAGTACGGTAGATAGTGTTGGAAAAATACCAACTAGACCGTCACTTGAGGGCGCTAAATTTAAATCAGAGACTTTTAAAACATAAATCAATGTTCACATATTCTCTAGGGCTAAACCAATATTTATGTAGCATAACAACTGTAAGGTATATATTTATTTATATATTCTTTCAATATAATGCTTATTTTTATGTTGTTATAAATATATTCTGTGAAACTTTAAATCAAATCTAGAACTTATATACAGGCCTTGAAACTGTGTTTTATAGTGAATATAGAAAATATATAAGAGAAATAACAGAGAAGAATTACTCTATGTCTACTCTACTATATATTTTTAAAATCATTAATTTTTAGTATTTTCACGCTGTTTTTTTTATTCGGCAGAACTATCGTTCACCTCTAACAACACCGGCATTACAGCAGTCTGGTCACATTTCGCAATATTGCAATCGGAAAACGGAAAATAATAAAAATTCAATTATTTTCCGAATATTGCAGAGGATCTACCAATCTTCGGCACTTAGCCGTAGAGCAAGTGGATCCCTATTGACCAACCCACTGGTTGAGGTAGTTTGGTTAAATTCCGCCAAGATGTCACAGTCACCGGATGGCGGGATTTCCAAAGTGGAAGCGGTGGAGGAACCGAAAAATCATGTGGATTCTTTAGGTGATTCCTGGCGTGGAGTGCCCATGGAGGCCATACATCGTAATCTCGATCCCTACGAATTGGATAATTTGCCAGATGTCACAGCTGGGAATAATCACCGGGTGATGTATCAACTGCCTATCCGTGATACTCCACCACGCCCACACAAAGCCCCTGGAAAATGGGATTCGGAGCATGTACGTTTGCCTTGTGCGCCGGAGTCGAAATACCCGAGGGAAAACCCAGATGGTAGCACCACTATCGATTCGCGCTGGGGAATGATTGAAAGAGCTCTTCTCCAACCGATCGAAACGAGTGAGGAACTCCAGGCGGCCATATTATCGTATAATAGTACCTATAGAAATCAATGGAACTTTCGTGCCCTTCATCAACTTCTGGAAGAGGAGCTGGACGAGAGTGAATCACGGGTATTCTTTGAAGATCTATTGCCGCGCATAATACGACTGGCATTGCGACTACCGGAGTTGATTCAAGCACCGGTCCCACTTTTAAAGCAGCTAAAGAATGCCTCCTTGACCCTGAGTCAGCAGCAGATCTCCTGTCTTTTGGCCAATGCCTTTCTGTGCACCTTTCCCCGAAGGAACACCCTCAAGAGAAAGTCCGAGTACAGTAGTTTTCCAGATATCAACTTTAACAGGTAATTAATATCAAATATAAGACGTATCAAGATGTATATAAGTATATATCATTCTTAATAGGCTTTACCAATCTTCGGGACCAGCAGTCCTGGAGAAGCTCAAATGCATCATGCATTATTTCCGTCGCGTTTGTCCCACAGAGCGGGATGCTAGCAATGTACCCAATGGTGTGGTAACCTTTGTCCGTCGTAGCGGTTTGCCAGAACATCAGGTCGATTGGAGCCAGAGTGAAGCGTCCCTGGGTGATGTGCCATTGCATGTGGACGCTGAGGGAACAATCGAGGATCATGGGATTGGGCTGCTTCAGGTAGACTTTGCCAACAAATATTTGGGTGGCGGTGTTTTGGGACATGGCTGTGTACAGGAGGAGATACGCTTTGTCATCTGTCCGGAGCTCTTGGCGGGCAAACTCTTTACGGAGAGTCTGCGTCCCTTCGAGGCATTAGTGATGTTGGGGGCTGAAAGATATAGTAACTACACAGGATATGCCGGTAGCTTCGAGTGGTCAGGCAACTGTGAGGATTCCACGCCCAAAGACAGCTCTCATCGTCGTCAAACGGCAATTGTTGCTATTGATGCCCTGCATTTTGTTCAGTCACATCACCAGTATCGTGAGGATCTTATGGAAAGAGAGCTCAACAAGGCGTATATTGGGTTTGCCCACTATATGATTACGCCGCCACCAGGAGTAGCCACTGGCAATTGGGGGTGTGGTGCATTCGGCGGAGATTCCTACCTAAAAGCCTTGCTGCAACTCATGGTATGCGCTCAGGTGGGCAGACCTTTGGCCTACTATACCTTTGGAAATACTGAGTTTAGAAATGATTTCCATGACATGTGGCTCCTATTTCGAAGAGAAGGGACCACAGTGCAGCAGCTTTGGAGTATTTTAAGGTCCTACAGTAGGCTTATGAAAGAAAAGAGCTCCGCGGAGCCGCGTGAGGGTAAGGCAACCAAAAAGAAGCTATATGAATTTATAAAGGAGGAATTGAAAAAGATCAGAGCTGAACCTGGAGAAGGAGCAGCAGCAGAAGTTGGAACATCGAAAGCAGCTGGTTCGGAAGAAGCGAAATCGGAATCAAAACCCTCTACATCAGTGAAATCTTCGCCAGAACAAATCAAAAAAGCAGCCGCTTCAAAATCCATCTCTCAACAAAGTCCCGACCTTTTTCCCTCGCCTTCATCGCAAAATAATTCGAATTCTTCGCCGGAGCAGGCCATTCTTATGCTGTCCGATGATGAGGAAGCTAATGCCATGATGGAGGCGGCCAGTTTGGATGCAAACATCGGCGAGGAAGTCAGTAACAACAGCACACCGGCCAAGAGCAGTAGTTCTGGGTCGAAAGTAGCTGGAACAGGTGGCCGTCAGTTAACCCTGCTCGAGATGTTGGACTCTCATTACGAAAAGGGAAATGCATCGAAGAGACCACGCAAACCGGCCAGTTGCAGCAAAGCTGAGGGTCCAGCTAAGAGTCGGAAGGAGAACGAGGTTGAGGATAAGGAGGATCATGTTGACTAAGTAATATATTTTCGTAGAAGATTCGTACTGCCCGTAAACAAATAGATCTAAAAGGAATTTAATCTTTATGTAAAGCTTAAAACATAGAAATTGCTACATTTTGACTTCTAACGATTTTTACAAACACTCCAAGAGTTTTCTTAATGTATTTAAAGTTATAAAATTTATTCAAGATTATTTGTTCTCCTACTTGCTAACATAAATACTAATTTCCAAATTACCAAATTTTTTTTGGCATGGCAGTTTACAAAAAGGAATTTAAAAAGTTGACTGTTCATTTTTAAATAATAAATAAAATTTCATTGGCAGTTATTGTAATTTTTAAACAAAATACTCTATAAATCCTTACTCTATTTTGTTATTTTAAAATTTAAATTAAACTGTTAAACCAAGATAGGTATTTAAAACTTTAAATAATATATCGCAAGAAAAATTAAGTTTAATATGTTGAATAAAACTATTGTTACTTGTGATGTGAATGAAAAGCTTGACTGATATATTGTATCATATCATGTTATCATAATATTTAACATCGTGTTATATTCCGAGGAATTGATTTAAAGTTGACATATATAATGGTCACGAAATATAAACCAAATGCAAAAAAATATATGTTCCATACCATTTAAAGCCTGAAAGTAGCTTTCTACTTGTCTTTCCATTTTCATATTCTTGTAATTTTTTTTTAGACTAAGCTGACGAAGAGAATCAAAACTGTATATAGGTTCTATTCGTATATATAATGTAAAATATGTAGTAAAGTGTGTTTTTTTTTTAAACCAAAACCTGTTTATTTTCAATAAGACTTTATTTCACCACAACAAGAACATCAACAACAACCACGAAAAAAAAGCGAATATATATAGATGATTTTATATATCTAAGCAGATCCAACGATGCCGCAGATCGCTGGAGAATCAGTAGTGATTGCGTCGTTTGTTAGATGGACAATACTCGGCGTATTCCTCCCAAGTGCAGCCCGCCTTGGTGCAGCATTCATTCGAGATCGATGGAGTATGTCCATCAGATCGGCGACTTCTTAGGAACATATTGGCATAGTTGACATGCAGCCAAGTAGAACCATCAGCTGGAAAAAGGGTCAGAATGTATTTAAAACTTCTATATCTATGTTGGGTTTTTAATAAATATAGTTCTCTATAGACTTACGATCAGTGGCGCTCTTTTTGATCCAAGCCTCGTCATTGCCTGTCCTCTTCTTGTTGCGCCGTGTCAGTCGATAAATATCCTTTTCGCAAGCCCAATAAAGCTGACGGACCAGCTTATCCCGACAGCGGGAGTGCGTCTCCTGGTGCCACACATTCTCCCAGTCCGATTGGGAACTATACAAATATATATATTTTTAATATATTATTTAAAAACTTTCGTATTATTTTTTCGTATCCTAGCACTACGTAAAACTCCGCTAACTCACCGTTCACGGAATAGCATCTCGAGACCCTCCTCCGTGTGCTGCAGTGCCTCCGACGTTGGAATCAACGGCAAGACGAACAAGAGAACAGCACCACAAAGTGTCCAGCTGCCCGAGTTAGGTAATATCATCTTGGACATTACAGGTATTACTGGAGTTCCACTTGATGGTTCTTGGGATTCTGATCCTTGATGTGGCTCACACGGCGGATGCGTGGCAACTGAACGCTCTGGCCGGTGTGTTGTCCGGTTTTGAAATATAACCGGAGCCCGGATTCCACCAGAAAGGTGGCGGCGGCCAAATGTCGGGCGTCGGCGGCATAATTAAATCGGTGGTGCAGCGTTCTATTTGAAGTAATGAGGCCCGGGTCAGGACAGCATTTTTACACACTCGGCCAATTCGATCTAATGAAGAGCAACGGCAGCAATTGTCCGGTTATTGTCTTGTTTATCTCCCGGCTCCATTGGACACCACAAATTGGACCCACTTCTCTAACTCTGTTCACCTGTGATTTTCCACATTTGACCATTCGGCCATTCGGGCCCACCTGCAACCTGTTGCTTAGTTAACAAAACAACATAAAAGCGGGTAAGTTAGCTGTTTGCCTCGTAAAACGAGCCGAATGCCGGGGCACTTGTTTTTATTTCGAAGTTGGCATAAATTTTCCAATATTTGCACGAATTTCAATACGGCCCATGCCAGCGACACAGTGGGCTAAAAAGAAAAAGTATTGGCAAAGTAAAAGAGGATAATGGGATAACATTACTAAAAAATAAATTTAGATCTTATAGCTTAACGTTGAGCCTTATAAATTTAAAATTAACTTTAACTCAGCTAAAATCACAGTTTTCTTTGAAATAATTAAGATTAAATTTTAAAATATATATGTATATCAAATAGTATGAAAAAATTATTAACTCAATTTTGTATATATTTTTTTTAAGTATCATTTTTGTTTTCAAGCCCACTGTAAGCAGCATATAGAAAGCCGCCCACACGAGACAATAGGTTAGCTAAATAATGTCGTTGTTTACACATTCTGTGCGAATTTATGATGCACCTTTCCTGGCCACAATGTTACAACAGTGCCAAGTCCAAGACCAAGTTCCAAGTCCTTTTTTCCTTTGCTCATTTTTTCGAGTTCAGTTCTTGGATGGCTTTGACGGTGGTTGGTTGCCTTTTAGGAGCCTTATTTTTTCTGTTATTTTTTTTTTTTTTTTGGATGTGTTAACAAAACTATAAACTCGAAAAGTTTCTTTAAAGTGTGTTAATATAACCAAGCAGTTATTTTGTATTTCACCTTCGCTAAACAAATATTTACTTTAAATCAACAAACAATCAGTTGAAATCAATGAGTAAATAAATAAAGTGTTAAATTAATGCGAAAATTGTTTGAATATTTTTAAAGCCATTGCAAATAGGCTTCCATTTTGATTAACTTGATTACAAATATATTATGTAATTTAAGAGCCGTAAACGGCTGTTTGTTTTGTCACTTAAAAACCAGAATGGAATTTTGTGTACACAGAGTCATCAATTTTATTTAACACAATGAACAAATTTTTATTGTACATTTACATTCATATACAAATACAATAAGTTCTGCTTTTCATTTCTTATGCTATTCAACTATTTTGCTGCATAACTGATAATCCAAAAAAAAAATATATATATATGTATGTATATATATTTATACTCGTATATATATTTGAGTACATTTCATAATGCATTTTTTACTCGCTAGTTTTCTCAATTTTTTTTTTGTGAGGCTAGGCGGCTAGCGAATACCCTACAGGGCACACAAAAAAAAAAACTTGTTCGGTTTGTAGCTTAAGTTCTAGAATATTTAAATTTTTCCGCTTTTTACGATTTTGGTTTTATTTTTTTTCGGTTGTTTCCTTTTCTAAATTCAAATATTGTTCAATTCCACAACTGTGCTAGGAATGCAGTAGAATACATTTACAAATACAAATATAAACACATAAATCCGCATTTATGTTGCTATATATATTGCTGATATATAGGTTAAATATGGCATTATACTGAAAAGGGAGTAGGTGTTCTTAATAGCAATATATTTATATAAGTTTTTTATTATATTCAAGCAGGATTTTATTATACATTTTGTTTAAGAGCATTGTTTAAATCTATTAATTACTTATTAAATAGAATTCACTAAATAATTTTGGTGTTTATGTGCGAGTGACAAAGGAAAAATAATAAATATTTCATCTAAAAAGTATGCTATAAAAATAAATTGCATCCTTTTATCGTCGGGAAGGAATAACAAAAATATTTTGAATAGGAACACTTACTCCCCTTTATGTATATTCTTAATCTAAATCGTTATTTATTTCTATAGTTTTTGTTTGATTTAAATTCGGCAAGGCCGAAGCCATGCAAAAAAAAAAAAAAAAAACAAATGTCAACCAAACAATCTTTAATCGATTTTCCTTATTTAATAGTCAAAGTTATATAAATATTGTAATGCATATTGTAATTTACATGATTAATTTATGTCATAACGAAAACATTTCGCATGGTCAACAATCGGCTTATTTATGAATTAATTAAAATCTAATAGGAAATGGAAATGGGGACTCATGGCTAATGTTTCTTCTGATTCAAAAGTTTCTATAATTTATGCTGATGAAAATAGTACATATATCTGTGTGTATCTCATTTCTTTACTACTGTATTAAAATTGGATTGACTTAATTTGCATAAGGGAAATGCTTGATGGGATTATTAGTAGAGGCAATCTATATCCAATTGAGCTGTGCTAGCATTAGAAATTATTAGTAGTTCCTATTACCTATGTAGCCCTTAAATCGAGAATGCATTTAGTTTAACATTTATCTGCCTTTAAAATTACAGCTCAGTTAATCTAAAGGTTTTTTTCCTTAAGAGTTCTACAAATTTCAGTTATCATTTGTGCTACTTTTGTCATATAATATATATATATATATATATATAGTATAGGAAACCCAAGAGTCTAATTTGGGTTTCATAAATTGTTTCATTTAAATTCCAATCTTTGCCAGCGTTAAATCTCTTTTGTGGTCATATTAATGGATTTAATATCATCTTTTTTAATTATACATTTTTGCTATTCAACGCTTAATTACTAAATGACACATACGCAAATTACACAGAAATCTACACATTGTTACAGGAATTCCGCCGTTCATTAATTCTACTCATTAATTTTTATGTCACCTCCATCAATTTCTGCCACACGGATTTAACAGCATATCTGTTTCAGTTTTCAGTTTATTTTTTTTTTTTTTTGCCATTTTCAATATTTTAGTTGCAAAAATTTCAACAATTAAATTGTAAGCTTTCGGTTTTTTATAAAATTAAATTTTATATTTTATATACTTAAAACTATTTGCTTAGATTTAAAGTTTTTTTATAAATAAAATTTCTACATCGTCTTTATGCTAAAAATAAAATTTAAATCAATTTAAAAGTTAACAAATTGTTTAAGAAACATTTTTTAATTCGGAAAATTAAATTCTCCTTATAGACATATATTGGTTAGTTAATGTTTTTAGTTAACTTATATGCGCCGTGTTTACAATTTTTTATAATAAACATTTTATTTTTGTATTTCTTGTTAGCTTTAAATTCACATTTTCTGTTTTGAGTTTGAAAGTCGCCTTCAAAAAATGATGGGACGTTTCGCAATTCAAGAGCTGTAAAAAAAGGAATATAAAAAGAAATTATAAGTATTTTAGATTTTTTTATATTTATTATTATTAAACTATATATATTTACCCGCTTAGAGCATTTCAATATTGGACGTTCCGTTGCCGGTTGCAGTTCGCGTCGTCTTGGTCACCTGTTGATTGGTCATCAGAGGCGGTGGGCTGCCACACCAAACCACCTACAGGATATATAAATCTTAAAAAAAACTTAGGAAATCTTTAAGAATCACAAACCTTGCGGAATGCCTTGCGAAAGTTGTCGGACAGGAAGGCATATAGTATGGGATTAATGCAGGAATTTGTGTAGGCCACCACATGCGATATAATCTGGATGATGACCGACAAGTGACTGCCTCCATAAAGATTCAGTGCCTTCAGCACAAGGATAACCTGAAAAAAGGGTATTGTAAATAGGTATTAAACCTCTCTCAAGATAAAATATATGAACTGAAGTTCAGAAACCGAGGAGAGTATATTTTTAAAATTAAGTTTGCAAGCTCTTTTACTTAGTAGACTAAGAAGTTTAAAGTAGAAGAAGTTTAAAATTCATTCAAAATGTACAATTTTTTTTTTGCCATATGCTGCCATTGACAAATGCAATTCACTCATCTTGCACATCGTGAGAATGTCTGTGTAATTGTAATTTCGTTTCGTAAGTTGTGAGGGCATTGATTTTGTGCAAATACTTTGAGTGCTGGCAAACTCAAGGAGGACCAGCTGCTGGCTTATTAAACGTTTCAGCAAATAAATGGGGAGAGATCCCAAAAACCAGGGGGGGCCGGAATATGTATATCGGAAATGTCAATTTATTATCGCCACTACCCAACTTAGTTTGCCAGCAACAGCTGTTGTCGATGCCAATATCAAGCTACTCAAAATGTAAGTTCGAACTTTAAAGTAGGAAAACGATTGCTACTTTTCACTTTTAAGTTGGTTTAAGTTAATAATGTATTTCAGAATATCCCAGTCAACCTTGAACTACTATATCCTCTCGATACTCCAATGTTCAATGTCAATCTTTGTTATTTGTGTAAAAAAAATGTTTGAAATGATTCCCTGGTCGTCTGTCAATCAGTTGACTTTTGACTATTTTTACCCCAAAAATTGTGAAATTGACATTAATGAGCTGATTGCCAGATTTCCATTGCATTTTACAATGTATGCAGGATTTTGTTCTTTTTTATATTTTTTGATTACATTTCTTCAATAATGTTAGTGTGTGTGTGTGTGTGTGTGTGAGTTTTACTTACATGTATGGGCAACCAGCAGATGGCAAATGCCAATACGACAACAACAACCATTCGTGTGACGCGTCGTTTTCCCTTTCTGTAAATACAACAACATACAGCAATATATATACTAGATATCTTTATACAATATACCATATATATATATAGAAAGAGATATGTAGATCTGGGGGTGCATATAAATTATGCCGCAGTTCAGTTTGTGAATTTTGCATTGCCTGCTGCTCGGTGATTTATGAACTTTGCGTGCGAATTGCGAACTCGTCGCAACTTCATTTCCATTCAAATTTAAAACGCAGCCTAAAATGTATACTATATACATATATATGAGTATAAAGATGCAAAAGATTGTGCATATTGCATGAAATATATACCTTTGTGACACCCACTGCATTAAAGTATTTGCATTAAATCTGATTTAAACATCTCAACTTCTTCTTTTATTATTTCATTTTATTTTCTTGCATTTCTTGAGTTTCTTTAACATTTTATTGATTTCATTTTGAAAGTTTTGTTCAACTGAATGTGAGTACAATTTAATAGTATTCGATTTATGATAGAACCAAAGTTCGACCAAGTATTTTTCAAAAGTTTAAAGTTTCTGCAAGTTTAACTTCAAATTGATAGTTGGTGACCCCGATCACGCCTGAGTTATTTGACTAACTTTACTATTTTAGTTTGGTCTTAAAGTATGTTTTTTCTTAGTAACTTGCATTGATGCTTTAGTTACTCTGGTAACTAGCATTTTCTTTTTTTCTTTTATCTAGAATTTATATTTAATTTTTATGATTAGCAGCAAGAAAGAATATCTAACTAGAACTTAAGCTTTGCTTCAATATTTTTAAGTACATTTTCTAGTTTTAGCAAGTTAAACAATAAATAAATATTTTCCTTTTTCTTTATCCTTTAGCCCACTCCTTTAACTCACTTTTTACCTCTCAATTTTTGGCAGAATCCTGCGGGAATATCGCTCACATTTGTACTTATGTTTCGGTTTCGTTGACCACTTAAATATGCATGAGCCAAAGCTCATGAGCTTTCCTCACAGCCTAATAAAAAGGCATTCATCATGGCAGCAGGTGCGTAAGTACTACCAAAAAAAAAAAATAAAAAGAGGAAAAATTCCCATACCCACGGCGTATACGCGATATTTCTGTCTGTGTGTGTGTTTGCTGAAGTGTGTTTGCATTTTTGCTTTTAAGAGCTCTATGCATAGTATATACTCACCGTGACTCTGCGGAAGGCTTGCAGCCGGGAGCACTTTTCCACAGACGAGCCAACATTCCCATATAAAGGAAGCAAATCAGCGTTAAAGGCGCCACATACGATGATAAAAAGAATGAGACCTGAAATAAATGTATTTTAGTTAGGTCTTATGATCACCAAGGTGCCTGATAATTAGATCATAAATGAATGAATATTAAAAAGTCAAACTGAATTTGATTGCTGAGAATATCAATTTATGTACAAAATATATATAATTATGGAAATGGATTTAAGTTTTCACTTATTTTTGTGGCTCTTAAGTTGTGGCTAAATAATTTTCTAGGAAATTGTGACTACAACCTATGGGCTTAAGGCCATATTGTTACCAAAGTTTGTGGTTGGCTTATTTTCTAATATATTTCTCTAAAACTCTAACCCTACGAGCTTGTTAATTTTCCAGCTGATAACTTGCCGGCTCTTATTTAGTCTTAATATATTATATAATATTTATTTGACACATTTTTTTTTGCTCATTTTTTTGTCGACTGCTTGTGGATGAAGGTTTTTCCCTGTGCCATCTGCTGCCACGTCACCTTCTTCTTTTGTTTTTGCATGGAAATTGTCAGAAGCGCTGACCCGTAATGCTGACCAGATACCAGATATGAGTACCAGACACTTGCCAGCCCCAGAAAAAAAAAACCCGGAAACCCCTACTCTTTTTTTTTGCCATTCAGCAGCTGCCGCTTAACCGTATTCCCAACAGACAAAAAGATATATATATATATATATCCATGAAATACGACTCTATATGTGTGTGAGATAGTGTCGTTGGAAAAACGGGCGGAAAATACTCGTAGTTATTCTGGTTTCCGGTTGAATATCCGTGCATTTTTCGTTGAAAAATATACGAAAATGAATCGACTACGGAATTGGCCATAAATTGGAATAATTAATCATTGGTAGATATTTTAAAAGGAATAAAGAGATGCTTTACAGAAAATAATACGTTTTCTAGGATTTTTATATGTTTAGTTTAATTAAAATATGGCAATTAATATTAATATATGATCTACAAATTGATTTTTAACTTAAAACTTTCCTTTTGATGAACTTTAAAATTACTCCAATACAACATCAACTGAATAATTTTCAGTAATTTTTGCCCTTTGGAACAAATTTTATGAATTATTTTGCGCTAGTTATGGACTTTATGCCAAACTTTTGAGAGAAAAGTATTTTGAAGCCCTGAATTGAGTTGAATTCTTTTACGCGGTTTTCCATTCGATTTTTCTGGGGCTATGCATCCATTTTTTTTTTTTTTTTTTTTTTGGATATCCAATGAGCCATAGACTTAAAACTCATTTGGCGGCCCCTTAACTTTCGAGTGGTTACGGTATTTCTTTGTGGGTGGCAGGTGGCAGTCATGTGTAAGTGATTAAGGGGCATACCATTCCCTACATTGGCCGTGGAAAAGCGGAAAACAGGCAATGAGTACCAGCCGAAATATGCACAAAGGTGCAAGTCAAAATATATGTACATATATCAATTGTGGGGCCTCGAATTGGGAGCAATGAAACGGAAAAAGAAGGGGAGCGCGAAAGTTACACATAGAGAAAGGTATGCTAATTATTACAATTTTTTACAAGAATAAGTTTTAAGAAAACGTAGTTTTCAAAGTCTAATAATCTTAAATTATTAAAAATTGTAATTAATTAAAATCATTCTGAAAATTACTGATATATATTTTTTTTTAGCAGTGCATCGATGAAATCGCGCAATACCGCAATTGTTAATAATAATCGTTGCCACGCCTTCGCATTCATATTTCGGTGGGCGGGAAAGAGAGCAGTTATGGCATGGCGAATGCCTGACAGCTATGAAATCGAAATCACTTTGTTGGGATTTACCCATGGCCATGGCCAATGAACATGTCGTTCGTTATCGACAACGAGACAATGACGACGGCAACACAAACAAAGACAACGAGACAACGTCGAGAACGAGTAGTGACATAATCCATGATGACACTTCTCAGATCCGTATCCCCGGAATCCGACTCCAACAACAAATTCTGGATCTGACATAATGATGCCGGATATCTTCTCTTCAACACTCATCAGATTTTACACTCATTATTAAAAAGGTATATTGGGTTTCAAAATGTATAACTTTCTAAAATAAGAAAACTTTGTAATATTACAAATTTGTTTTAGGTCAAATCTCTAATCAAAAGAATGAAAAAAAAATGTCTTTAAAATTAAAATTGTTTTAAGAAGAACTCTCTGTAATTCCAATCATTATAAGTATTGGTTGGTTGGTTGTTATTATTATAATATATTTAAAAAACCTTTTCTGAGATATAAAAACGAAGTATCAGTTGATCGTAACCCATAACATATTTCGTCATATATTCCCTTATTTATTTTCGCTGAGATGAGGGCGGATTACTGATGCATTAATTAAAGTGTTGATTGCAAAGGAAATTGTTTGTAATGCGCGACAATGATGTTAACGATATCTCTGCTGAATTCTGCAATTTATGGCACATTCGCAAGACAATTGAATTTATGTTAAATATTATTTGCTACCCCATTTGTCCTCCTTATTTACTGTCTTCTGTGTGATTGATAAATGCCATAGACCAAGCTGGTGGCTAATTGGCTTTTTTGAACAATGTTATAGTAAACCTTTAATGTGATTGTATTTAAGGTTTGAAGTTTTCTACTTCATAATATCCAGCTAAGACTCAAAATCAGCTCAGGAATGTTCATGGATTTTTAAACCGAAACTTCTGACTTGCAAAATTGTCCTAAATTTCTTGGCTCCCATTTCAAATTAACTAGTTATCAGTAAAAATAAAAAACTTTTGCCAAAAGTGTGCTCAGCTGCTTTTAGCCAAATTGTCATTTTAAGCGGCAAACTGAAAAGAAAAACAAAACAGAAAGTCATTTTCGCGCCAAATGATTAGCAAATGGGGTTTTTATTCCTACATTTTTTTTTTGTTTGTTTTTAGCTGTTCCCCAATTGCATTTTGAAATGGATGGATCCAGTCATTTTGCTTTGTCAATGGACCGAGACAAGTGGCTATAATATATATATATATATATCTAGTTCTGAGGACCGGAAATGAAGTTGAGGAACTATAAACTTTGCATTGGTTGGGGGGGGCTTCATAAAACTTCTACTTAGGAAATGGAAACAAGCAAAATATGCTAGAAACAAAGCTACATAGAAACTCAACTCTCAAATCGATAGATAGATATAAACCATGAAATTTTACAGCACAATCGCCATAAATAAAAGTTGCCAAAACTTGAGCAGTGAATTTGGTTTTTTTTTTAAACTTTATGCTGGTCCTATAAAAAGCCATAAACAGAAGTGTGTGCCATATGATAAATGGTCTGAGGGGCGTATACTTAATATTCGGCATGACCCAAAAAATTGCGCCTGGGATTTGTCCATAAACGCAACTTGACACTCAGCGAAATTAATCAACTTGCCACAGGCACTGATGAGTGTTTTTTTTTTTTTGGTTGCCTCATAAATTTCCTTGATATTATATTTATATTTACCCTTAGGAAATTTAGCAAAAAAAAAAAAAAAAAAAAAAAAGATGATTGAAATTATAAATTGGCTGCGAAATTCAGAGACATCAAATGCTGGCACTTATAATAACAGCTTTAATAAAGTGGATTGATAATCCCAGACGTGTTTTGAGTTTAAATTTATGTTTTTTTTTTATCATTTTTTATTTTCAGAATTTTCACATTCAAAATGGTTATCGTAATGGAAACTGCATTAAATTTAGAAACATTTAAAACTCCTTTCAAACGGCTTTAACTTTCCAAAACAAAAGTCAACTTATGGGCCGTTATGCCTTCCTATTTTTCGGACGGAGAGTATTGAAAGATAAACACTATTTTTCCGCCCACTTTTCCCCATTTCCGCCACCGCCTCTTTCCAGACTATTTGTTTCAGTTTTTTGAGTTCTTTACGATGACAACAATTCGGTCGTTAGTTTGGCTGTTCGTTTTGCTTTGACGGATGCGTCGCACAAGTTTGATCCATTTTTATTTTATTGCCAGACAAGGCTTCAACTAAAACACTATATATATATATATATATATATATATCTATATATATTGACCCTGACAATGACTATTTTCAGGGGCGGAAAATCAAATTCTAACTAAAAATGGAATTTGCGCATTCAAAGGCCGCGATGTGATGCTCTTTCTAATGAAAATTTAAAATTTTAAATATTTTTTTGGATTATTTTGTAATAAATTAGTGAGTAACTTAAACATAAAGATTGTTAATTATTATTATTATTAATTTATAATCGTAAGTAAGCAAAACTATTTCCTATATTTTGCAGTATTTCATAAAATTTACATCTAAATTAAGTTAAAACTTCAAATTAATCAAATTTCTCACTACCAGACTTCTAAACTTCACTTAAAATCTTTAATAATCCACAACTCCTAAAACTTCCATGGTGTCTATGTGAAATTCCCCTTAAAGAGCATCTACACTTTGTAGTCAACATCGAAAGTTGTGGTTTCCTTTTCGTGTTTTCCAAAGCAATTGCGATTTATGTGCACAGTAGTGGGGTAGAAGGGGGATTTTCGATGATGGAAAAGGGGGCGTGTTGCGATGCGGACACAAGGAACGAGGAGGTTTGCCGTTTCCGTAGCCATGTCCCCGTATCCTTATCCGTGTCACTGTCGGAAAACCCGGAGCGTAGCGAGCTGTGCAATTTGCCGTGCCAGTTGATGATTTTGGAGTGGAAAGGTGAGCCGGGGAATTTCTGGGGTGCATATTAGCTGAAGGTACCGAATGGCTCAGGGAGTCAGTCCTGTCAGCCAGTCAGTCAGTCAGTCAGTCAGTAAGTCACCAGGCTACACTGGGGTAAAAATATGTGGCTAGTTATTTTTATAATTATATCCATGGTATTAATGTAATAAAACTATGGTATGGTTATTAAATGAATCTATGTGGTCTGAGCTTCAAGTGACTATCCACAGGGCTTAAATGTGTTTCCCCTTCTAACATTCTTCCCTTTTTGCAGAGCTCTGTTGATTTTCTCAGTGTGGTTAGTCAACGCGTTATTTGTTCGTTCTCTGAATGGAAATAGACGACAAAGCTCGTTCATTCCACTCCCCTTCACAGAGCGCCTTTAGGGTGAAAAAACAAAAAAAAAAAACAACTGTGGCTTTTCCGGTGTAACATCCTTCCGGCATGAAATTACACTCGAAGACCTACGTAGTACCACCGAATTGATTAATAGACAAAAGTTCAAGTAATAAACATAACAAACTCGGAGAGAAAATATGAGCAACTCAAGCGAACGGAAAAACCATTTTGGATAACGCTGATCTATGTGAGGGGGAAATCTACGAGTCGACCATAATGATGATGGAATTGTGCCATCGGTTTAACCCCCCAACCCTTTTCCCGAAAACAGGGTGGATAATTGCAAAATAAGGCGATGGACTCTGCACTCTGTAGTTTCGCCACTTCTACTGAAAGGGGATTTTGGCCAGAAGCAAGCAAAAATGCACTTCCCGCGAATGCACAGAGGTTTTTATTTTAATCTAGTCCTTTTTTTTGTGTAAAACTTTTTATACACATTCTTCTTCGTATATTTTTGTAACTGACCCGCTGTCTTGGAACTTGATATATACCTTCATATGTATATATATATATATATATTTATTCCCTGGCTCTTGTGCTGCGCTGATATGTTACACATCTTGACAAGTTGTCCTCGCATTTCGGAATAAAAAGACTAAATGTGGGCGTGAAGGAAGATATATTGCAGTCTTGCCGCGCAAGCACTGGAAAATAACTTGATTTCAACAATAAGCGATTTGCCGTCATTGCACTCAAGCTTCTTAGACAACAAAGTAGGTGAAATGCACACACACAGAAAAATGTATTAAATATAAAAAGGATTTAGAATGCTTCGAATTTAAAATGTAACACCTTCTTGAACTTGTTCTAATTCTTAACAGATCTCTATACAAAGTTAAAAAGGTAAATGCAAAAAATGATGATGTTAAGATCAAAAAAGCAAAAATTTGATTTCATGATTCTCTCCTCAATATGGCAGTATAAAGAAATGCTGAAATTTATCTTTAAATTTATCTTTAAGCTAAGAAAATGTGTATTCTTTTCTGTGTAGGCGAAGGAACTTACCTGAAAACCGACGAGACTCCAAACCTCCTCTTCCGTGGAAAAGACGCAAGCAGTGCCACCCTGTCCTTTATATTGATAAATTCGCACCGAGTGCGAAAGTGCCACCGGAATCGCAGTGGTAACAATTGTTATCCAGGCGCACATGATGGCCCTAAGGATTTGGAAAATATGATATATTAAATTCGATGTATATAAAATATGTTCAATATATATTTCAAAGGTTCAACAGAAGGTCAACATATTTTTAAATTATTATTAAATAGTAAATAAAACTAATTAAGCGTACCTTTACCCGCATGCTTTTTATTTCATTTCAGAAAATTATGTTGTTTCTCTCTATCTACCTGAACTTCCTTTAGACACGTTTTAAGTTTTTTAATCAAGGAACATGCCAACAAAGTTTGAGCTTGGTTAGGGAAACAAAATTCTACAAAATTTCCAAATGTTTTTTTGTGCTTTTTAATTTCTTGCAAATCTGTTTAAGTTGGCCAAAAAATTTGTTGACGACTTCCATTTTTGGGTTAAAGTTTTTAGTTGCCTGGTTGGTATGCAGTAACATTGGATATTTATGCCACAAATACTAAATGCATAAGACAAAAGGTCACAGGGCACGGAACATTGCTTGCAAGTTAGACGAGCCTACCTATCTTGAAATATTTTACATATATTTTTAATATTTGGCCACTGTTTTGAGTAAGTTCCGCGAGAAATAAGTTGTTTATTAAGAGATGACCGGAGCTGTACTGCCGACCAAATGAAAATCTACCCAAAAGCCAACGGCATTTCGATCGCTCTGCTTACAAAACTAGAAGAAAATAAGAGATAAGAAAGATAAGTAAGCGAGAGTGGATCGAAAGCTCGGACAGGCAAAGCTTTAAAACTCGGTGGTTACCTTTTACACTATCATTTGTTTACAAAGTTTTATCAAAACAAGCAATAGCTAACGGTATTTAATATTAATCAATTTTATTACTGCTGCTCTGAATAGCCACAAATTTAGGCAGATCGTTTTAACTAAATTCGAAAGCGTTGTTTTCAAATTCCCAAAAACTTTCTCCGATTTATTGAAAGAAAGTTGATCCTGATAAGGCTTACTTACAATGTGGCATTCCGCTCTGTTCGCAGGGACATGCTCGTCACGGGATGAACGACGGCCAGAAAGCGATCAAACGACATCAGGACCAGCGTGTAAACACTGCAAGTTGGAAGTAGGAATACAGGTTATATATGGATATGCATACCCCTAACTATATATGGTTTTTGTATATACATATATGGAAGAAGCAACTTACCTGCAATGGCACGTAACCACAATCATGTACTGGACGAACTTGCACCACACATTGCCAAACGGCCACTCGGGCATCACGTAATCGGTGGCCGTGAACGGGACGCAGAAGATGACGAACAGAATATCGGAGACGGCCAGGTTGATAATCAGCAGGTTGGTGGTCGAGCGCATTTGCTGGTTGGCCACAACCACTGCAGGGACATGCAAATTGATATATATTAAGAAGGAAAAATTAAACTTAATATAGTGAATTTAAATGATTAAGAGAGGAGATTTCATATGAAAATGTATGCCATAAATTTGATGGCTATGAAGGTTTCCATAAGTTAATAAGTAACTCGATCCTTCAGATTTTGTATACATTTTTACAAATATTTAAACTTCTTTTGAAGTGCGTTTTAAGCTCATGTAATTGAAATATCATAATAAACCTGCATAACGAGCTACCTTACCATCATTTTGTATATCAAATGTTCTTCATTACAGTCAAAAATTCATATTATTAACAATTTTAAATTGCTTGAAATGCAACATAATTTCATATGTTCTTACATAGTTGACATTTTTGTGCGAGCTATGTATGTTCTCATAGAAAATTGTTAAATAAAATGAAATCTCATAACGTTAAGAATCTTGCTGTCATGGCAATGGTCCAGCTTTCACTTACTGCTGTGGAAGCATATACAACCCTCCCTCATTCTCCTTTACAATTTTCCCTTTGCCTTTCTTGGCTTTGCCTTCCAAGTTTTTCTTTTCCACCAATTACGCGGACAAAAGGCAGCAAACAACGGTATGAGTGTGTGTGTGTGTGTGTGTGACATGGGTGGTGGGACCAAAAAAGGGGAGTCTTTCATTGTTACAATTTTTTGGACTCTTTGTTGTCGCTTTATGCTTTCACTTTTTGACTTGCTTTCCCTCTGAACTCTCTTCATTTTTTCTTTAAAGCAGCCCCCTTTTTTTCCTCTTTAAAGGCCACACCATTTCTTTCTTACATATTTTTTTTCTTTTTAGCCAAAGGAGCTACTTGCAATTAGCCAACAATTTATGTAGCTCCACACAATAGAAGCGTGACAAAGACATCCAAAGATGGTAAAAAATATATATATTTAGAAAAGAAAAAAAAAAACGAAAAGAAAGAGAAACTCTGAAAGGCGGTAAAAACGGTGTTGACCTGTAACAAAATGTTATTTGGGCCAAAACGAAGATGCGATGGATTGATGTGGGCCACGGAGCCAAAGGAAATACAAACTCAAAAGGCCAACAATCATTTAAGAGTAAAAAAAAGAGAGGAAAAGTACAGCAATTTCAGGTAGAAAAGTCAGTGGAAATGGGAAATGTCGTAAAGTGCATTTGGGAAAATGTATTCCTGTAACTTTTTAACATTAAAGTAAACTTAAAAATAATTCTGAAATCATATTTATTATTCTTTTAAATCGTTTTAAGTTTCCTTAGCTTATATTTTAAGCTAACTAATATAAATATTTCTCTTCTTATTTTTGTATATTATTTTTCCAAGTGCAAAAGTGAGAACAACGAGGCGCGCCCGCAAATCAATTTCCTTTTCAAATATATATTTAGCACAGGATGTTTCAAGGTAAACAAAAAGAGCAAAACCCACGCCCCCAAAAACGAAATGGCCGGACAAACAGGCAATAGAGTAATAAGTAGCAGCAGGAACAGAAATATGCGAATCAATAGTAATGGCAACAATAAAAAACCGGTGACGGTAATACAAAAAAATATTATTTGGGTTGCCATGTAAAAAAAATATATATATATTTTATTATTAGAATATATAAACTATATAGACAACAGATGTGCGGATAAGGTGATTCAACTGTAACCCCGTTTAAACCCTTGCCAAAATGTTTCTTCTTCTTGTATTCCATTGTTTATTGCTAAATAGTTTTGGCAACAGATTGGTAGCAAATTTGTGCCATTTTGGCAAGCATAGAATTGCCAAAATATGGCATGCAAATTAAATGATTCGGCATTCTGTTTGGAATTTGGGTCATCATTAGTAAATTAAAGGCTATGAAAATTTATAGAGTATACAAAATTTACTTGCAATAAGTAAAAGTGCTTATAAATATATATATACATTTTCATATTTAATAAACCCAAAATATATATAAATTTTTTGTTCATTCTCCACAATTAACAAAAGAAATACCATATTTTTTTTGTCCTCATTTTCCTACTTTAAAATAGGTTCAGTTGGCAACTTTGTTCTGGGGGCTTTATCAATTAACAAAAGGCGGCGCAGCAGACCACTCGACACCCACTAGTCCCTGTGGTTAACCACCTTTTGCGGGCAATGTTGACACACGAGAAGGATTCGCCAAAAAAAAAAAGGGTCCAAAAAGTGGGATTTTTGTTGGGGCATTAACTTTTTCCCCACCATTAAAGGAAGGCAGTTCTTTTTTTTTTATTATATATACGTTTATATATATATATATATTCTTTTTTTGTTTCTTGTCTGGCTGGCATTTTACAAAATAATAAAGTGTAGCGTAATTTATGGGGCAAGGCAGCAAAAGCGGCAAAAGTTCTTCAAGCGCAAAAAACGCTTGTTATTTAATGCTAGCGCCCGTACGCTCGTACAGGGAAAAAAAATAGGGGGCGTGTCACGTTGGGTCTAGAGCAGCTTACAAATAAACAAATAATCAGGCAACACACACACACACACACACATGTGTGTGTGTATGTGCTTGTGTTCTAGACAGGATTTCCTGTTCACTCGCAGCTGGGGGCATAAATTCACTTTTATTGAACTTTAATGTCACTCTAATGCCCTCCCATTTCCAGATCCCCCATCTTAAGCCCACCCCGCCCCACCTCGTTAGACCACTCTTGTTGCCCCCCCAGTATTCCTTCATGTTTCGTTTCTGTTATTGATGCACTTCAAGTCGACACGGCATATAAGCAATTTGAGCCCTGATTTAGTAGGCAAAAGTGTGTGCGGATAGGTATTAACTTTCAGGCTAAAGTTTAAGTTATAATACCTTCAAATATTGTTCAAATTTGTTTCAATTTAAAGAAAGAAAGAAGATTTATGGCTAATTGTAATGATTTTCTTAACTTAATAGAAATTATTACCATTTTTTAAGTACATTTTAGAGAGCACTTAATTGTTAAGTAACCTTCTTTTCTATGCTTAAAAATGAGCTGCCTTGAACTTTGTAAGTAAAGCAATTGGCCAGCGTTTATTAAGTAATTGAAAATAACAAGCAGCTCAGGAGTTAAGTGGGCAAATTGAATGCCTCAAATGCGCAGCGATTTAATTACTGTGGACTTAAGTTCCTGACTTGAAGGATTTTGCCAGTAAGTAAATAAGAAGTAATCAAAAATTCTGTTGTTATTTTTTTGGACGTAGCCGTAAACTGAACAAAGTAATTTACGAGTTTTAAGCCCATTGTTGGAATCACATTGGCTGATTATTAAGGACACGACTTATTACGAGTGGCATAATTTTAATAGCATTTGAAATTTATACTCAATTAAAATGTTGCTATCTCAAAGTTTAAGAGTTCCGTTCGAGTTTAGATAGATTTTGGCAAAAGGTCCGTTTGTTTTATGATCCAATTAAAGTAGGCCAAGTGTGTGTGTGTGTGTGTGTGTTAGTGTTGTGTGGGTTTAAGGCCATTAAGTGCATAAATGATTGCTGCTCATAGGATATATGCAAGATGTGCAGGAATATTTTGGAGCTCTGCAGTTGCTTGTTGCCATACCGAAAACCCCACCATAAGTACAGTCCTTCCCCCCTTGACTATGGCAATTAATTTAAATTTTAATGCAGAGCACAGACAGAAAGACATCCTGTTTTGGCACATGAATATCCGGTTACAAAAGGACCCCCATCCTCCGTTGTCCTTTTCTTGGCCCATTTTCGTGGGTCCTTCTGCAATCTTCAGACTTTGTCTCTCTGGAATCGGCGGTGTCCAGCCTTCATTATTTCTGTTTTTGTTTTCCCTTCTTTTATTTGCATCATTTGCCAGCCTATACAAATACATATTTAATGCCAGACAAAAGGAAAACCGGTATTCCCTGGAAGGGAGAAAGCAGATAGAAACTTGGATAAATCAAAAAAGGAAGACATTTTCCAGGGAAAACTTGGCTAAAGGCAGATTGGATTGAGTGCAGAGCGATGTCATCTCCTTAACGTGAGTATTTTAAATGTAAGCCATACACAGTTGATAAGAATCTAAAAATTTTCCATTATTTTTCAATTCATATGCAATTTTACTAAAGGTTTCTGGATTTAAGTCTTTATTAACTACGAAATGCTTTGGTCATCACTTTGTGGACTGTTAATTAATTATAAGATGCATTCTAGACACTTACCATCAGAAGTGTCAGTCTCAATTATCAATCAAGACACATTACTAATCCAATCAAAAGCATCTTGATTCTCGAGTTCATTAAAATTGAATTGAACAGCCTTTGGCCAATAAATTAAAATGTCCTTCAAATTCAGCTTCTCAGTTTAGTTTTGTTTAGACAAGCTAAAGTTATTTCAATTAAGCACCATTGTTAAAATATGGCTAAATATTCTTTAAACTGAAAGCAGCTGCAGCATTTTTGATTGATTTAACTAACTTTGCATTTGCATAACTCTATTATTCTGCAGACTATATATTGATATGGTAAATGGACTGTGAAAATGGGATAGACACTTTTTATTTATTGTAACAAAGAGGAATATTCTTTACAATGGCAACAGAATGAGAAGCAGCAACAACGTCGTGAAGGCATCATTACCATTGACAAATGAATGTGAATCAATCAATCTTTCTAGTATTCAATATTCATGCACAGTAAAGTTTTTAAATTTATTATTTAATTTGATTGAAAAAAAATATATTTTTTCTTTAATTGTACTAATAGTGATTTTTTAATGGTTCTGACTGGTTAATTAATAATAAACCAGATTTTAATAAAAATGCAAATAGGGTTGTATTATTATATTATCAAAATAATAAAGTGACAACTCTTTTGAGTTTTTGTAACCCTGGGTAAACTTGACATCTATCAAATAATAAATGACATTTAACAAGTTTTCAATCGAAAATCAAAGCTAATCGTCAATAGAGTTGAGCAGGACATACGCCCAGCATAAAAAACTGACTTTAAAAAACTCAATATGGAAAAAATTGAAGAAATGCCGTTAACAAGCAAGGGCATTACGAAGCCCCAGGAAGGTAGCGACGACAAGGAAACTACTGAAACTTCTTCGGGGACTACTGCTAGTAACTCTTTTTCTGGGTAGGTGCCATCAAAAGCTTATAACTCCTAAAGCTAAAGCGAGTTAGGCAGGGCATGCGCCCGACATAAAGAATTAAAATAATATAAAGCATTTCCCCAGACCACACAATATGGAGCTCATTGACGAAAAGCCGTCGACAAGCAAGGGCATTACGAAGCCCCAGGAAGGTAGCGACGACAAGGAAACTACTGAAACTTCTTCGGGGACTACTGCTAGTAACTCTTCTTCTGGGTAGGTGCCATCAAAAGCTTATAACTCCTAAAGCTAAAGCGAGTTAGGCAGGGCATACGCCCGACATAAAGAACTAAAATAATATTAAGCATTTCCCCAGACCACACAATATGGAGCTCATTGACGAAAAGCCGTCAACAAGCAAGGGTATTAAGAAACGCAAGAAAGACAGCCACGAAAAAAAAAATAAGAGAAAAAAAAATAAAAAAACTTCTTCAGGGAATAAAGTTCGTAAATCAACGTCCAGGTAGGTAACATTAATAAATTAGAAATCCTAAAGCCAAACCATCTTTAGATGGCCTCTCTAAAGCCTAGAAAGGAACAATAAATAAATAATGAAAATTTAAAAAATTGCAGAGCCTCACGGAAAAAGCTGCCGTCCAAGTTTACTTTTGCCGACTTCACTTTGGTTTTCGGCAGTGACGATGAAGAGCCCTATGTGGATCCCGACGTTGACTTGGGGCCAGGTTCATCAAAGACTGCCAAGAAGCAAAGTCAGGGAACAGAGCCCAACGTAGAACAGCAACCGAAAGTACGCAAGGAGGTGGAAAAACCATCGGTCGAAGACGATTCACTGGCACTACAACCAGATCCCTTAAATGCTGGCCGTAGTCCAAATATATCTGATTCCCCAGATAACCAGCAACAAGAACCACAAGACTGAAGCCTCCCTCAACCAGCTGCATTCAAATCCCACATCTTGTGGGTCCTATCCCCATTATAATACTTCTCCAATTTCGTAAACAAAAGATGAAAAGATAATTATCAAATCTCCTTTCTCTATGCTTCGTCAAAGTCCCAGGAAAAAAAATTAGAGAGGCGAAGCAAAACGAAGATCTCTGATGCAAACTCTTTCTCCCGACTGCGTTGTAAAATGAGAGAGGGGAGCAAAACTTATGTACTGTGGATCACATCAATAATCTTTTTTAATTACGTGAATAAAAAAAACTTTGAAAAAAGCTTCTAAATACCATTTTTAAGTTTGTCTGTTTTGTTAGTTTTATATATTTTATTTGAGCTTAAGATAAAACATCCAAAAATTATCGTGGACCACTGTAGATCCGTTGTCATAATTGTCACAAATCAGAGTTACACGCATTTCTTTTCATTCATACTATGATATTGCTTCTAAGACGATAAAATATATTAAATAAATAATAAGGAGATCAGTGGTCGGTGTTTTAAAGTTTATTAAATATACATACATTCGTAAATTTATCTTTTTTTACGCGAAATGCTGCTATAAACAATTTCAAGTATAAGTGTGAATGATCTAAATGCTTGATACAGAAGAAACAAAAATGAGAGAGAAGCAGCAAGGTCCCGTTATTCTTTCTCTGCCGTCAACTTCTTAATCTTCTTGCCGGTAATCAGTTGTACAATTTTCATTCTTAAGCAGTTGCCCTCCTAGACCACACGTGAATATCGTTTGGCTTTTAAAACGTGTTAAAAAGTGATAAATTAATACATAAAAAGTGATCGGAGGACTGTGTTGTGAGTTTGTGGTTTAATATAGAGACAGACAAGTATATTTTTTTAATGGTGAATTTAACTTTTTTAAAGGTGCTCCGCTAGACGGATCTTAACGTACATACATATGCACTTATATATGCATGTACATGTACATACATGTGTATTTTACTATGTGAAGTTTTGTAAATATAATCAAGGTATACTATCTTAATATTTAGGTGATCCCGTTTAGACATTAGAATAATGTTGAAAATCAGATTAAGTGGCCATTGAACATGCAAATGAATTAAATGCTGCGACAAAGAGGAGACGAAAAGTCAGAGGAGAAAAACGCGAAGATCCGTTGTTCTTCATTTTTCTTTTGCTCCAGTTTTGCAGCTTTTCGGGTTTGGCTTGCCAAACGTAACTTAGATTTTGATATAATTATTTGAATAATTCATTTGTGTTTGTAATTCCTTCGAGTAAATAAGCTTGCTCGCCCATAATCTTTGGCTGCTCGAGGCGATATTACACTAACAATTTTTCGTTTTCCTATTGCCGCCTCATTCCGTCGCCAACTGCAAAATAATTTGTTCTCCTTTTGCTGCTGTCCACTGAGAGAAACAAAAACAGTTTTCATTACAAATAGTTACCTTTTTTTTGCTAATTACTTGTTTTTACTGACCCACCAAATATCGAACCGTCAAACTAAAGTCGCATCGATGGTTCAAAATTTGCAAACAGAAGTTGTACAAAATGAATTTCAGTGCACGATGATCCAGGTAAAAACAAAAACAAATGATATTGCAGGTACCGACGAAATGAGGCGGAAAGAGAAAACGAAAATTTTGTACAGGAATGTGCTCGCGGTCGAGCAAGTCCATATGCAGCGCATTTACGAAAACAAATAAGCACCCAGGGCAGGGCCGGATTTCTGTAAAAAGCCGCCCTGTGCGTTGTAGTAAATTCTGCCTTTATTATCTATTTTAAATTATACATAAATGAAATTTTTGATTTTGGTTTCAAATTTCGCCAGCCTTGGGGCCTTTTTTGCCAGAAACCCCATAGTGTAAATCCATCCCTGATTCAGAGCGTAGGCTTTAAGCTTCTCTGTTATATACAAAAAACATTGCATTACTGCATAAAAGACAGGTTTGGTTTTTGAAATTTGTCATACATAGCATTATATATATGTATATTACTTTAAAAGTTCATTTTGATTTTTTATGAGTAGATGCCAATGGCACACGGCGGGACAAATGGAAATAAATTCATTACAAATATTCGGACTCGAAATTGAAATGGAAACGGAAGTAAGATGCTAAATATATAAACAATCCAAGGTAAAACTGCTTAATAATTATTCAATCCTTTATTGGGATTTGAATAGTATCAAAAATTGAGGTATGTGGTATGTTTTATTTAAATATTTTTATTAATATAAATTCTAATAATGATAAATTTTTTTAATTGTGATGCCAAACGAAATGTGGACTCCGCGGGAATAGTGAACGTCTATATATATCCAAGTAGAAATACACGGAAGGAAAATGGAAATGCGATGGTCAATAACAACTGTAAATAATATGGAAATTAAGGTTAGTGTTCTTTTTATAGTCTATTAAATAAGAAAAACTGAAATTAGGTCGCAAAGTAACGGTTATCTTACAGGCGATGTTTCGTCAATATAGGGTTTCTTTTTTTTTTTATATATATAATGTTGGGTTATTGAAGGGATTTGCATTAGTCAGCTGAAGAACAACAAAATCTATGTCCACTTGCTATGGGGTAAAAAATCCCAAGGACGTCCAGGGACGGGTATAAAAACAAAGACGAGGATGTGGCTATGGCTGTGTGATCTGGGGACACCTGGCCATATGCCAGTATGACCATCATGGACGCATATGTGTTGACAAGAGTGCGCCACAAGTGTGTGCGAACGATGGAGGCACCGAATGGTCGAAAGGGGCTAGAAAAAGGGGGAGACAAATAGGATGGAACGATAAGAGGGTTACATGAAGGAAAGGACGCAAGAAAAGACACACAAAAGATTGTCAGCTAAGCCAAAGGAAAGTGTTCCCAAAACGAAAAATCCTTTAAGAGATTTTCATGATTCCAAAATGAAACTTAACTTACTTTTTACTACTACTCTATCCAGTAACAAGTTCAACTCTTTTACATTTTTTTTTTCGATGTTCGAAAATTTTTACCTTATTTTAAAAAGATCTTGTAAGCCGGAAAGTCCTGGCTTTATACAGGTTATGAAGCTGAAAGACAACGGTTGTCTGGCATTTTATACCTGTTTGGCCGCCTTTGTTCGGCAAGCGAAACGAGCTTTCGGGTCCTGAGCTGCACAAGTATTCTGACATTCAGAGGGTATCTATTCTACGTTACAGCTGTGATGATAAATTTAGGGAAATATACCTAATGTTAATGTTTATAAAAAAAAAATGATATTTGACATCTTGGTTATAAATTGCATACTAATTCGAAAGCTTTTTAGGAATTGTCAAATATTCGAGTATTTGTACTATTTTTTTGACCACGATTGTAGATATATATGTACACATATTTGAGTGTGTTTTTGTGTGTGTGTGTGTGTGTGCCAGGCCCCGGCAGCCACTGCATTGAAAAGTAAAACAATAAAATTGTACATGGCCCATAAAAAAGCATAAATATGACGAATGTACAGAGAGTGGAAGGGAGGCAGATAGATATAGGGAGTGAGTAGGACAGAGTGTCCAATTGCCTCAGTATGTGTACTTATGTGCGTTTGTGTATGTGGCCCACTTGGGTATTGTTTGTCTGTCTGTGTGCGGCCGTGTGTTTGTGTTTGTACTGGCCGCTTTTAGGCGCTGTACTCAATGCTGGTTATAAATTTTATCACTATCAACGCTGGATAATAAATTCGTACGCCTTGTGGATTTGTGTAAATTTGCCCAACGCACACACACACACACACACACACACGCATAGTCGTACAGCCGCACCCACACACAAAAACATATATACGACCATATGCTGCTTAAATGCTGTTTTCATTGCATACTTTTGTGCGCACGTTTTTACGGGGCTTCACACTAAAGTACTCACATGTGGTGTTCTCTCAAATTGCAACTACGTGCAGCATGCATATCCACATCCTTCAAAAAAAAAAAAAAAAAACTACAACAAAATATTTATTTGCTTCCTGTACGGAAAATGTGAAGCTCTCGAAAGATTGAGGCTTAGCTGAGGAAGTGAAGTACCCGGCATTTCTCGATAATAAAGTGTTTGAAGCATAGAAACAGGTGTATCCTTTGCATCAGTATTCAGCACCAGGTGAACAAAATATATACATATACATATGTCATCTATGTGTGGCTGTTTTTATGGCCAAATATTTTTCAAAAAATAATCAAACAACAACATAAAACTGTAGCTGCAGAGATGAGTCGAAGGAACTCAGGATATGGGTTAAGATAAAATTTAAAAACACATAAATATTTTCTTACCAATTTTTGACTTTATTCGAACAGATTTAAATATTTTACTAAGAAGAATATCTACAACCATCTTATTAAAGTACAAAAGAGAGAGTAGGGAAAATGAAATTGTCATAATCAAAATTCAGTATTGTTATATTTAAAACTTATATTCTCTGATTGAAAACTCTAGATGGTTGGTAAAGATAATCAAGTTTTTCTTTGTAATCAACTTATACATTTTGTTTAGAAAGTAGTAAACCAATCGAGAATTCCCCTAGTAATGTTTTCATGCAAATCGAGTGGGAAAATGGTAAATGCATTTTCCAGCGAAAAGCCATAATAACAATGGCGGGCAAATAAAGTGCAAACAATTTATGGCTGGTGTCCTTGGCATGGCCTTCACAAGCTCACAGGCTGTCAGGATGCAGGTGGATAATGTTTTCGCAACACCCATGTTCATCTACTCCTCCTAGCCGTGCTATCGTTACCCTTTTCGTTATATATATGTATATATATCTCGCCTGAAATTGTATTACGCTTTCATTTAAGTTTATTTTGCGGTTCCATCTGTCGAAAAAAGATGCGATACGAAACAACAGGAACCAAAAAAAAAAAAAAATGGACGAAAATGGGGGAACTGTGTCGAATGAGAAACATGTTTTGGGTTTGGGACCAAATCAAATTTTGCCAGCCCTGTCAGGAGAATACAAAAAATATGAGTATCAAGGTTCCGCTAGGGTTATTTCAACAGGCAAATATCCTGTATTTTTCAAGGAAAATACCCGTTGAAGTAAGGAAAATATTGTAAGAATATTTTCTGTAAAAAATGTTTTATTTAATTTTAATTTATAATTCAAGTTTAAATTCGTATTTTCTGCTTAAAACAAAATATTTTAGAATTTTTTTTGTATTTACAACACCCATTTAAACTTTTCTTTTATTTCAAATAACCTTTTCTCGAATATAATTTTCTCTTTTAAAACTTTTCAAACCCATTCCGCATCTTTGTGAACCCTAGATACCACCTATTTTAACATATAGTGGGAATCAGAAAGACAGGATTATCTTTTGGGGTGGACAGAGTCACGTTTCTGTTCGTCTAGGCAATTACAATTTTATAACAGAATTTATGTTATCCCTCAATGGGTTTATTTCGACACTCGGCTGGATTTATTCCAGCAGAAATATAAGTCCCCAAAACGCTGTCAAATTGAACCGTTCTTACACTGACAAAGGCCAATGCAAATTGAAGTGACAATGCGGCCCTTTCTCTCTCCTATCCTCTGACAAAAATATTCTTCAAACATAAATTATAATTAAGCATAAAGGATTGTGAGTTTTGGATTCGTGTTGCGGTTTGTTTTCGCTTGGCAGATTTACACAAATTGCTGTTGACAGTTTGTGTCAGAGTTGTGGTAACTTATGCATACATCAGCTAAAAATTTCTAGGGAATTGGCAATGTTTTCGTGACCAAAGCTATGCTTAAATTAAATAGATTTAAACTTAATTCTTGTGGATGGAACGAAATGCCTGCCTTCATCTATCAATATGTCTCTTGGGTGTGTGTGTGTGTGTTTGAGTGTGAAAATTGACTTATCTGCCATAAAATGCAGCACCATAATGTTATAATAATGCCTAAGATGATGATGATGTTAGCTGAGTATCTATCTCCTTTTTTTCAGAACTGGCCATGTGTAATGGCATTTTGACAAATTATCTTTCCATAAGCCACAAATAAACGCTTGCACTTTGCACCGTAGGCTGCTAAATCTTAAGTTGTCACTTCTATATCTTTGGGGTCCATAGACTAAAGTAAAAGATGTGATTATATTTTTTAAAAAAGAAACCCTTTTTAAAAAGTATCATATGATAAAATATGCGAAAGTAATCCCTAATAACTACTATTTATATATACTTTATTAGGCTCTTGAAAACATAGAACCATAAGACCAAAATCATGCAGATTTTTTAGGGTATCCTTAAAGAGATGATATCTTTGCCTCGAACTCGAGTTGTCCTTGCAGCATTAGACAAACTAAGAAGAGACAGTTCTCCCAATCGAGTGGCTCTAATTTTTGCCTTCATAATTTGCCATAAAATCCACACGTTCATTTACAAATCATTTATCATAATGCCGCCGCCAACGCAGCTGACAAAGTGGCTTTTCCATACAGTAGCATCCTAAAAGGAAAATTGAGGAGGATGCTACGGGAAATTGTGGGCGCTTAGTTTGTTGGGCTGATGTGGGGGTGGTTGGTTTGGTTGGTTGTCGTGGGCAATTGGATGCCACTTACGACTTTAATAAAACTTTTCCTTTGGCCTGACAGCGCCGAGAATGCGATAGGAAACCGGTTGGGGGTAGAATATGCGACATGGAAAACACTTTTCACTCGGCCGGAGTGGGCGCGGACAACCTACGCCTGCACTTTGACCCCCTCATTTGTTTCTGAGATAACTTTCAAGGGCTCTGGCTCTGGATATATTTATCTCCGCCCGAGATTCAATTCCAGCTAAGATAACTAAAGAAGAGTACATTAAAAATGTTACTTTAAATATATACACAAAAGTTGTTGATGGTTTGAGATAATTTTTTAAATATATTCGGAAATATTCTGATAATTTCAGTATTAAATCATAAATTTTTTAAGCAATATCGTTTTTATAAAGGAATTTTAAAAGCAAAATTATGAATTAACCCATACTTTTCGATACGAATCACCTTTTGTGGGCATAAAAAATTAATTTAAAATCTTAAAACTGCGCTCTAGAAACGAAGGTTAATTATTAAATCTTTATGTGGGCTTTGTGTGGATGAAAATTAAATTTGTTCTAATTGAATTTTGTTATGTCTTTATTACGGTGAAGTTGTTTTCATTTTCATTTTCACTTTTATTGCGAAACTGAGCTTGAGAGAAAGGCTTGAACGGTAGCTTATAGTCAAGAGGTGGCTCGTGTAAAAACTATATTCTTAGTGCTTGACGGCAGAGGGTTTAGTTTTACCGCTACACTTACAGCAGCCGCCTTTTTTTGCAGTTTTCTTTTTTTTGCCTTGCGATTTTCTTATTTTTAGCTTTTTTCCTTGGGCTGGGTTTGAGCTTGTTTCCCTGTTTGGTTTTTTTTTTTTTGTTCCAACAAACAGTGAGTGGGGAAGTGGGTGTGGCCAACAGACACACACACGCACACCTGTGGAAATTCCAAGGGAGGTAAGATGGCCTCTGAGAATTTCACACCAAGGTTGCAACGAGAAAACAACAAAGGGGAAAAAATAAGAAAAAAAGATTGCATGCAAAATGAGTTTGCCTGTTGAGATTTTGTCTGCTGTGTCGGTGATAGAGCACACACACACACACACACACACACACACACTTGTGCACTTGCATAGACACACGCAAGCACTCAAGTGTTTGAGGTAAAATTCCTTCTTTGTCTTAACCCATTTTTGCCCCCATGACATTCTTTCATTGCCTACATTTTGTGGCTGAGAAATGATTCAATTAAACTAGACAAAAAACCAAAAACTCGGCCAGATTTATTTTAATTCTCTTTAAAAGCAGAAGCTTTCTACCATTTAAGTGCATTGTTGGAAGAAGGTTTTTCGTTAAAGAGTTTAATTTCATTAATTTAATATTTATGGTTAATAAAAAAGTCTTATTTATTAATGACCAAATTAATATCTTTTTATGATTATTAAAGTTTTTCTAATTACAACTGAAACGCACTGCGGATGCGTTTTTTTTGTTTTTTTTTTTTTTGCTAGCCTATTAAATTTTTGCAATACTTGCAAATTGCAATCTTAACGATCTCAACCTCACACCTCTCTCGTTATTCGCCTCGTCCCTTAATGGGATATAAAAAATCAATTAGCTTCCGCGTGAATGCGCAGCTCTTGCAGGCGGTTTTTATGTTTTTATGGCTCTCCAGCACCTCATTCTTATGGCTCCTCGTCCTTTGCAGCTTCATTTGCAATTATTACGCATAATTTGCCAGAGGTTGCTAATGAAAGCGTTTCCCCGGATGCGAATCCGAGTTTTTATAGGGCATGAATGGTGGGAATTACACTGTCAGAAAAGTCACACGAAGTAGATGAACTAGACTAGAATTTTTCTAAGTGATTTTTGAATTTCTAGAATTTTTCATCAGAAAATTATTAGTTAGATAATAATTCATAAAATGTAAAAATATAGATTTATTCTTTAAGATGATGTTTTCACTGCATTACTTTGATACAACTTTGTGAGTAATTTTTGAAACTATTGATATTACACCTCTCGTATGATTATTTGCCATGTTATTAAACCTAAAACTTACCCAGTATAACCAGTCCATTTCCTACGAGTCCTGCAAATCCGATAATACCAAAAAAGACCGGAACTATTGTGGATACGATACGTTCAAGGGAAACACTCTCTGGATCAAATTCCATTGAGTCGTTGGCATTGTGGTCCGATAGATTTGAATCTTCCGCAATGAATGCATAATTGTTGCCACTACTACTGTTGCTATCGTTTATAATACTACCATTACCAGTGGCGCCCAAAGAGGCTTTTGGCCAGTTGCTAATTAGCATGGCCAATAAAAGAACCACCGACCTATGGCCGGCCATCTTGCCAGAGATTCCTTTTCGTAAATTAGTATATATATATATATATATATATCTTGTTATGGCTCGATTCTGAAGTGCCTGTTTTAATTGGATGTCTTTCAATCTATTGTGTATGGCCTTTCAAATTTCCTTGTTACGGTACGCCCACAGCCATGCCCGCCTCGTCATTTGCATATCCGTGAGTTATATCGTCCTGAAAAAGACAAATTGAAGTGGTGTAATAAATATTTTAGATATGAACTGGCAGATGCAGATACGTTGGCCATAGAAAAGTGAATAAATCGACTTGTTCGCCAAATAGATAGACAGTCAAGGATGTCGATGTGTGTGGGTTGTTGTATATAAGTTTCCCTTTTCGATCCCAAAAAAATAAACGAAAAGTGAGTAGTGTGTATCTGCACAGTGGACTATGGTAAGGTATAAGGTATTTAGCTATAGAGATTCCAAAATACTTTATTTCCATGACTGTCATATTTGTCTTCTTGTTGACCCTATTATATTTGTAACTCCCTTGTAATTACTTGAGAAATCTACCATATTTCTCAAACAATTATTGTTATTTCCGAGAATTCAAATTGGTTATTAGAAACTTGCTATACCTTAGGGGGAAATGTGGTATTTATTTTCAGGCTATTTCATAAATTTAAAGCCACTAAAACCACTGTGAATTTCAATATTATATCGATTTTTTTTTTTAAACAAAATTTTAAGAATTGATAGGGACAAGTGTCTCTTGTGAATAATGTAAGCTGACATATTTAATTTTCCGTCAACCCCGTTAATTCAATGCCACTGTTCTGACGACCATCATCTGCATGGCCGTGTACGAATTATGCAAAATTAATTTAATTCCATTACAAGGAAACAAGAGGGAAAATTCTGGAATATAGACAGTGGACCTTGGCAGTCATTCATCACATTTGCATATTTAAATAAATAACATCGAATGCCAACAAAAAAAAAAACAAAATCCTGAATGGGGGATATGCCACGTGCGCAGCATCAATTAGCCGCCTAGGAATAACACTTGTAAACATGATGCTACCTTTTTTTGTTCTCACTTTTTTGTTACAATTTTCGTTTTTATACCGGTTATACTCATAGAGTAGAAGGGTATATTGTATTTGTTGAAAAGTATGTAACAGATAGAAGAAGCAAGCGTTACCGACTCGAAAGGGCTGTATATTCTTGGTCAGGATGAAGAGCTAAGTCGATTAAGAGATAAAGCTTGAAAATACATGCTAGCAAGTTGGGATTAAACTTGGTTTTTGGGAAAATGAAGCGGCGTTGCTTTAATTTCTGCTAGCAAAATTATTAATTTTTCAATTGGAAAAGACAGTAAAGGGTATCTTATAGTCGCGGCACTCGACTATGCCATTTCTTCTTGTTTTTTTCTGTCGCCCAATGGCATTACACTTTAACTACTAATCGAGGAGACATATGTGCTGTCATGTCGTGTCTGAAATGGCACGCACCCTTCGCTGACAGTTGGCTTAAGCTGTCAATTAACATATTATTAAGCGAGTAACACAAAAAATGGAGCACAAAAAAAAAAAAAAATAACAGAATGTGGCAAAAACGTGGGGGATTGACAAACGATGACGACCGAAAAGGACGAAGCGGCATAATTGAGTGCGTCTGAAGAAGAAGGAATTCCGTTCATGGAATTCCAAGAACCTTCTCAGCTGGTAGAATATTTTGTAGGGTTTCCATTGGGTTTTATAAATGAAAATGTGTGGCTAAGAAATTAAGCAGTTAAGTTATAAAATCAAGAAAATAAACCTATTTCTAAGTTTCCTTCTTTTTTTTTTTGGATTTTATTTCATGTGAAAAAGGGGAAAATCTCACATAGAAATTGGCAACCAGAACACCCCACTACATGGGATTAACTTACACACAGACGATTTGCTGACTGAATAAGTGTCAGACAGAAATAAATATGTTTAACAGATCTTCTATCTTATGCATAAGATTTAGGGAATGAAATGCCCAAAAGCCCCAAAAAAAAAAAAAAAAAAATTGCCATCTATAAATTATGCAGATAATATCAAGGGTAATTCTGTGATTGTTGTCACAAATTGCCAGTGATTGGTTTGAATTATTTCCGTAGTAAATTTAATTAAATCAAGTCATAATTATGTACTGTTTGTCTCTCTTCTTATCGTAGATGATATAATTCATTTTTCTTTTCTGGGGGCAATTATTATGGACTGGTAAAAGCGATTTAATGGTTTTTTGTCTTCTAAACTCCACGATTTATGTTGAGCATTTTAAGCTGTTTTGATTTACGGCTTCCCGGCGAAAATTTCGCTTAGCGGCAAACTGTTTATGGATTAAGAGGCAAATAAAAAGGGACCGGAAGTGGCTGTGTCTCAAGTTTGTTTTTTTTTCCTTCTTTTCCTTTAGCTTTTCCACGCTTTCTGGAAATTGTGACACAGTCATCGAGGGCAAGCGGGCATGAAATTGAATTGGTTAGTTTCATGAGTTAAATGTGCCCGTTCATTCATTTGTAGGACAAAATCAAAAAAGAAAAATTATGAAATAAAAATCGTTTTAGTTTGATATTAGAAAATATCTTAATTTAAGGTATATTGAATGTTTTATAGATTTGAATGTCAACTGATTGGGAATTTAATTACGAGTTCAACGAGGTATTACATTACTTTTTTAGACCATTATTCGCTTAGTAAATAGGCGAAGATCGGCATAAACCCTTGTGTTACTACACAATTCGCCTTAAAATTGATTTGATTTGAAAGATAAGAACATAATTGTATTATCCGCAAACTATGAATTGGTGTTTGAAAATGCGATAGTTGCCTTTAATCCACTTATCGCCCATCAGTTGCTAATTAAATTGGCAGCGATTTGGAATCGTCATTCCTTCAATCATCCCTTTTCTGTCGGTTCATGACAGCCTAGTTCCGGCATAAATCGCGACACAATGTAGTTGCTACACAGAAAAATAAATCATATCACTTTGTTAAACCAAAATTTAGTTAAAAAATTGCTTGAACACATATAATTTGATAAAATTCTTTAAGTTTTCAAACACTTCTTTATGATTTTAAAGTAATTATAAAATTAAAACCAAGGTCTTATTGTTCTGTGTGTGTGTGTGGTTCAGAGACAAATGCCATTGGGGCCTGTCATTCAGTTCGTTTGTCAGTCAGTCAGAAAATCATTCAATCAGTCAGTCGACTGGATTACTGGTTCTCAGAGATTACGTATATGCAACGATGCGTAGATTGCGTATACGCAGCGTTGCTATATGCATGTATGTAGACATACAACCATCTCTCTCTAAATGAGTATTCCTCGGCCATGGAATTTCGCAAAATGCGTTTGTGAACCGCAAATGCAAATTCTCCTCGGCCGAAAGGCAATTTCAGTTTGTAGTCAATTATTTGAAGGTTTGATGATTTTTTTTTTACTTTTTTTTTATTATAAGAAACCAAAAAAAAAGGGGAACGAAACACACAACGCTCATGTGGCTTTTATAGACACTTTTGTGTGTGTGTGGCGTTCAATCTAATTGCGTTTTTATGGCCCAAATGCGAATCATAAAAATCAGCCAAGCAAAAACATCTGAGGGCACGGGGCGAAACAATAACATCATCATTAAATTAGAAGCCAAACCAAAGGCAACATCTGCTATAAATTAAATATTAATAATTAATTAACTCCTCTGCCTCTTTCGGGGCAAAAGCGTTGCGGATGAAGCAAGTCAAGTTCAAAACTGAAAAATAAACACAATGAAAAAAAAGGAAAATGTTGTTGGTTGCGCAGACAACGCGGCGTATGAGTAACGCACATGAATCACGGCATTTTTGTTTGTTTTCTTTTTGTGTGTTGTTGTTGTGTTTAGTCCATTAAGGGTTAACAAACAAGTTGAGTGCAAAAGTAGGAAAGTTAAGTGAATAATATTTTCTAGTGAGTTATTTAGTTTTATTTATGAAAAATTTTAAATAATTTGTAATATTTATTTTTATAAATCTGTTAAAAAGTTGAATTTTAATTAAAATAGGCATCGTGGGACAGTCCTCAATATAAATGCCAATGCACAATAAATAAATAAATCGCTTAACCAATATTCTGCACTCAACTTTTGACTGTTTCTGATAAGCTGCATAAAGGGTCAGAAACTACCTCTTCTATTGACATTCCCTGCCGTTATTTGCCTACCATATCGTATATATATGTATATATATATACATACTTTCCACGTACTGCTCATTTCCCTCGCCCTTCAAACAATTTCCAATTTAGAGGAAAATAGCGCTTGTGCAGTGCCGACAGTCTGTATAAATTAAATATGTTTGTCATTGAGCTATTTGCATAGCAGTGGAAAAGAGCAATGAAAATAGCTGGAAGGGAAAATTGAAGTACTTGTAAAAGGCAGTGGCGAATGCAAAGTATTTGTCGAAGGGTGAATATCATACTACTTGTCTATCGTTATTATTGGCCGTATTTAAATTGAGTGATGAGGGAATGGGCTGGGTAAAATACCGCCCTAGGATTTTATTTGCCATACGAATGTCAAAAGGATGCTTCAATCAAATTGCCTACGGAATGGTCAACGGCAAAAAGCCACAAAAATGTAATTACAAATTAAAGTCCAACACTCTGATAGCCATAATATCCGACCACTGAATTCATTAAAATAATAGAACAATTCGTTTTTGGCTTGGTTGCAAGCCATAACATCCAGTTAATAAATGCAGTCCACATTCCGATCAAACAGATTATGTATATATATATATATAGTATATAATTTGCTTTGGTAATGTTCCTCCATAATTAAATGTCACAAAGCCAAAGAGAAAACCGATTTTTCAGTTGCTGGAAATGTATATTTTCTTATTATTAAATAACCTTTAAACTATCTGCCATCAGTGTCATTAATTAACTGCCACAAATCCATGGAGAAAGCAGTTAGCATTTTGAAACTGAACTTAAAGTCACGGTTTTATTTTGTTGGAATTTTATATTTTTAATATTTTAAAAGTACTAAGCAGTTAATATTCTATTTTACTTTATAATTCTATTAGAACTCATTAAAAAAAAACTTACTAATTGTGTGGAAAATGTATTCCTTTTTGGGCGTTTTGCCTCGTTTTTTTCTTTTTTTAATTGAAGAAAACTTTTGACTAGAAGTAATTAAAAGCACATTTGGTGAATACATAATATTAT